AAGGCAAGGAAGGCCCCAGCACCCTAGGTGGGTCCTTGTGGTGAACACATAAGAAGGCACACATAATATTCCCACAGAATAGGCAGGCATATTTAACTGCATCATTGCAATGAATATACAACTCAATGAGATAACATATACATTTAAGTTTGATATGTTTTCCAGTTTCTCCCACAGTGCTGCTCCTTGACTTTTCATTGCCCTGTGGGGTAGGACATAAGGAATAAAACTGGTGAATTATATATGTGGAAAAAAATAACTTACAAAACAATTCTCTCCCTCTAGCCCTTGATTATAACTATGTTCTAAAACTATTCCAGTACTAATCATAATTACTATAAATTATAGACAATTTAAGAAAATTGGCTAATAACAGCATATATCACATTAATGGTAATCAAATTTATTCACTTTTATTTATGTGTCAAAAGGATATATATTCAATTGTTGGCACCCTTTGCAAAAGCCTAAATTTCATCAGAAAGCAGTTAATTGTGAAAATAGTTGTTCAATTTATCATTCTGCATAAAGTATTTATTTTTATTTTTTTTTCTCTTAGTTAACAGTAGAAAACATATCATTGGTTAATGTCCACAAGGAAATAGACATACTGAAAGCAAGTAATTAGGCAGACCTAATCCTAACTTTACCCCTACCCACTTCTTAATTTTCATATCGTAAGATCTAGTAGGGAACTCATAGTTCAGACCAACTCCTCATTTTGCAGATAGACAGACTAAGGCTGAGGGAGGTGAAGTGATCTGACAGTGGTTACACATGCATCTGGTAATAGAATCAGAATTCAGTTTTGAGCTCACTGCTTCTCAAGTCAGTGTTCTTTCCATATTACATCAAACTACATCCACTATTTTCCCTATAATTGGGCAACATTGGCCTGAGATATGCTCAGTTTCTGGCCTTCTAGAAAAATTATAAAAATGGTTATTTTGGTAAATTATCTGGTAAAATTCACATGTTCATGATCATATAGTATGTTGTGAAGTTAATATTTCTTATAAATTTAGTAACTCTTTTTTAGATATAGCCTGAGAGGGTGGAAATAGGCTAAATTTTGAATCAGAAGGGCTGGATTCAAGTTGTGGTTCTTTTAATTACTTCCTATGTGACTTTGGGTAAGTCACTCAGCTGCTCTGAACCTCACTTTCTTGTACAAAATATCAAAAATAACAATTACTGTAATTATCTCAGAAGATTGTTGAGAGTACTTTGTAAATCTTAAAATACTATACCAATGTGAGTTTTTATTTTTCTCTTGAAAGCATTTATTTTTTTTGTCCTATTAATATGAAATAGAAGGATATTCACATTGTATGAGCTGTATCATCATTGTAGCATAGGATATGTTTATAAGAACTTTCACGTCATCAATTTTCTGTCATCACTATCTGTGCACCACATTTTATGCTGTTAAAAAAGTATCATGTATGAAAGGCTATACAATTTTATATAATTTCATCTTTGGGACTAATTACCCAATTTTTTTTAGAAATAATGTGAAAAACAAACAAGCCACACTCTATCTCATAGTTGTGATATCTAGATTGCAGCATGTATCATGGGAACAGCAGTATGTTTAGACATTTAGATTAGGAGTTTCATTTCAGCTTAGCCATACAGTGGTATGACCGTGGGCAATTTGCTTAACCTTCTTTGGCCTCAGTTTCCTTGTCTATAAAAACAAGGTTAGGGTTAGATCTCTAAGGTCCTTTCTAGCTCTCAATCTTTTACCCTAAGATCTACTCTGTGTTTGGTTCAGAGAAACTTTAAAACAAAACAAATAACCCCCCCCCAAAAAAAAACCAATCCATTTGGCATATCTTACTTGTACTGAGTATTAAAGTCTTATATATAACTTGTTAATTAAATGATTGATTTTATCTGCAGACAAAGTAATTTCCTAGAAATGCCTTCCTTTCTGCAGGCATGTCATGAATACATCCCATCCCCCCTCACTCCAAAAGTGTTGCCTAATTTCAAATGGTTTGGAAGAAACAATTTCCAGAGTTGCCAGAATCCTGGCCATGCTGAGCTTTAATAAGTTGAAGTGATAAGTTCATATGGAACTTCAATGGTCAGTTCTAGGAAAATTAAATTGCTTTATTAAATTCATAGGATCATAGATTTATACCTACAGGAACCCTTGGAGGACAGTGAGTCCAGCCTCTTTCCTCATTTTAAAGTGGAGGAAACTAAGTTTAGGTGAATTGGCCAGGATCACATAGCTAAAGTCTTAGGTGGGATTTGAACCTGGCTCTATTTGAAGCCAAGTCTAGCACTCTACCTTCTACTCCACGTGGCCTCAATAAATACAAATTTGGCCATGTTTTCTCAAGATGGAAAGGGGACCTAGAAAATGAGAGATTTATTGAGACGTATTGACTTTTCAAGCTGCTAGCATGCCCCCTGGTGCAGTGGATCAGTAGAAAAATTTCAGATGGTAACTTGAAGGATCATAATAGAGATTAGAGCTGAAAGGCACCTTAGATGTTATCTAATCAAATTCTTTCATTTTACAGGGAAGGAAAATGAGGCACACTGAGAAGTGACTTGCCTAAAAGAGTACACAGAGAGTTAAATAGAAGAACCTGAGTTTAAATTTCTTCTGAAAATAACTGGAGAAGATAATAGCACTAGAAAATCATAGATTAAGAGGCTTCAGCCTTTCCCCTATATCCTGGGTTCAAATTCTAGAAATGCACAAAAGTTCTTTTTTCTTTAATATATATTACTCACCTCACAGGTTGCTGCAAGGGAAGCTTGCTTTAATACTTAAGGAGCTGTAGAAATGTGAATTGTGATTTTTGTTCTTTTAATTAAGCAGAATTTTTTAGTGTGTGTTTGCTGAGAAGATCATATGAACTACTGAGTTGTCTGTAACAAATAGATTGCCTGGACAAAGTCATAAAAAGAAATGATAGAAAAAGGTAAATCTCATGCTGTAAAGGCAAATGAGGAGTATGCTTCCTAATGCCCAAATCATTTGCCTTACATACATATGTGACTACATAATGGTTCTAATGTACCCAATTGTTGTATTGATCCCAATTCTTTAGTTATTTATTTTTCTTTAATGGAGAGTTAGCAACGTGTATTTACTAATAATACAAAGTGTTATCAGAAGCCTACATCTGCATGCTTTTGATAGGGCACTCTATTTGTAAGATACAGTGTTGACTACATAGATCAATACAAAGAAAATTGGTCACAGTTTTTAAAGAAACAAGCAAGACATGGCATTCATAAAGAAAAAAAAAGGATTTTGTTATGTGTCTTGTCAAGTCATGGTGGAGAACCCAGAATGCTGTATTTTCTCACATTGAAGTTGGGATCATCTAGAAATATGGAATTGCTTGTATTAGTATAGAATTTTGAAAAATAATGGAAGTAATTTCTCATCAATTAGTATTATACAGATAGAGAGAAGTCCTTACATAAAGAACTACCTTTCAAATTTCAGAAAAGAAGGAACAAGTAAGGTTCCAGACATAATTGTTAAAAAAATTGTTGTCTTAGGTGTCTATAGTATTTATTTCTTGCTACATTATCTCCATCTTTGAAAAGATAGGGAAAAACCCAAATTTCACTAGTGAAGCCTTTTAATTTTAGCGTGTTGAGCTAGGTACCTGGACGTGTGCATGTTTTTTCTTCATTTTTTTTTTACAATTTCAAATTAAGTGCTGAATTGTAACATGACTATTTTCAGTCTCTAATGGTAATACATGAGGTGCTCTAAGCTGGGAACAGTAGCAGTAAGTATTGGTTATTGATGGCTACAGTTCAAATGCATAAATCATACTTAATATCTACCTTTGCTTCATCAGATAGCTTGAATTGAGTCTATCAAAGTTGCTTGCAGATTAAAATCAATTTCTTCTTCTTTTTTATTGCTTCAATAGGGAAATGTATTTTAAATAGTTGCCAGGAGATAGTCCTTGGATAGGATTCTTTTTAAAGAAACAAATTTATCCTGATCTACTGAGCACACAAAATTCTGAGTATTTTAAACAACCTTGGTTTATACAAAAATGTATTAGCATGTTATTGACTTCTTTGTCTATGTGTCCAAGTTCTCCCTGTGATAATATCATCTATACTTTTAGATATAGTTATAGTGCTTGTGACGTTGCCTATAGAGTTATCACCAAATCCTACAGCTCAAGATGAAAATAAGATAGTCAGTGAAAATTTCAGATTCTGTTCCAATTTCTTTGAAATTGTCTTCCTTAATGTCTTATTTACTCAACCATTTAATAATACCAAGCACATGTTAAGGAGTTAAGGGAGAAGGAGGGGTATGGTAAAAAGGCCCATTAAAGCTACCTTGAGTATGTAGGCCAGAGTTGTGACAATTATGATAATTACTTCCTGTCCTACCCCTCTTTGTGACTGCTTCCTGTTTCATAATAAATGGAGCAGCCTTGTTCAACATGCTGATACTGCATTGCTCTTTGAAAAATGGGAGACCTGACAAGTATTTGGATAATTTAAAATGCACAGAGTATGAATGCCAGTCTCTATTACTGAATTATATGGCTCTGTACTGGTAAAATTTAAAAAAAAAAGATGCCTCATAAGAAGAATTTTCAGATACTAGAAGCATGGGTTAAATTGGAAAGTATGTCTTGCAGAGGAACTATTTCTTTACCATATAGCTAGTTCCCTGAGTTACTATATTCCTTTAAATTCTAGTATCATATTTTTACATTAAAATGATTTTCTGTTAATTATTTCTAGTGAGAGTAAGGAGATTTAATTTCATTGGGCAAAATAAAGAAGTAGAATTGTTCATCAATGAGGAGTGTTCCTTTAGGCCAGTCTGCTAAAAAGTAGTGAGTTAATTTTGGGACCTCTGTAAAAGAGAAGCCAACTGCTGATTTAGCTGGAATCATGCCTTCCCCTCCAATGAATTTGATCATTGCTTCCAGTACAAACAAATGCATTGACAATCCATTCCTTACTGAATTCAAATGTATTCTTACCGGTGGAGTGCTGAAAATGTAGAAGGATGAACCTTTCAGGGCCAGGAACTTGTGTTTGTAGGGTTGAGATGAGTCAATTCCCTGGGGCCTTTCATTTACCCACCCCATATGTACAACCTGCAGAGGAAAACCTTTGAAAATTAAAAATCAAGCCTCAATATCAGAATACGGCAAAAGGAGCAAAAATAGCAACACTATCAACAAGTTGTCCCCAAGCAATTTTTGCATTCTCAAAATAGATTAATTTCAGAGACTGAATAATCCAGCCTAATTTTACAGTCAAAATTTTATATCCTCATAAAGGTATATCATCTTACGGTATACATCTAAAATTCAAGACTTTGTTTTCACCAATAACTGTGATACAAGAGCTGAAAAGTTTAGATTTTCTTTACTGATTACATTGGATTTTCCTAGATAAAGGTTAACAAAATTTGTGTCCGATTCTATCAGCACCAGCTAGAGACATAGTGAGAAAAAGATTTTGCTCTTGATATTTCTTCCCAAGGTTTCTCAGGTAACTATTTACATTTTAAGTTTGCAGTCAGTCATGGAGAGGGGCTGAAATAAGGTCAATTTGATTAATCTTTGTCTTTATAGCATACCTATGTTGAGATTAAATAAAATTTCAGTGTTATAATTCATAATATGAGCTCTATACTATGCAAAAAAAATTTTTTAACTAATTACATAACATGCTTTTTATTAGTATTGGATGGGCCAGCCTTAAATACCATAAGTACATGTAATGAAATAGCAGTAATAATTTGTATCATAAAAACTAAATTTAAAATGTTTACTGAAATTTCAGAGAAATGGCAATGTTTATAAATATCATATATGTGATACACACATGTAAATATGTTTTATATACATATATAATGTAACACACATGTCTCTGTGTGTATGTATTATAAACATGTTCCCTATGATCCTAATTGGGAATATATTTGACTTTCAATGAGATGGATAATAAAAAGAGTACTAAATTTAGAATCAAAAGACCTCTAGATTGAAGTCTGAATTTCACCTCTGACTGTGTGACCTTAGGCAATTCACATAAACTCTTTGAACTTTACTTTTTTTTCATTTGTAAAATGAGACGAAATTTGTACTGCCAACCTCATAGGGTTATGAGGCTCAAATGAGATAATATGCGTAATATGATTAGTAAATTTAAAGCACAATATGAGGTTGTTGTTGTTGTTATTGTTTTTACATACATCTACTCCATAGAGTTTGTTAGGTCAGGTGTATTATTAACATACTACTGGATGATAACATAGTAGCATATGTTGGCATTGAAAGGAAGCTTGTACTTTAACACTTCAAAAATCCATAATTTCTTCTTCACTGTGGCACTCTTGTGATTTGCACAGATCACAATTCCTATCTGACCTGGTATTTGATATTGAAGAGTTTCTATAGTCAAAAACTATTACCACACTGAGGTCAATATTGTGCTGAGCTTCTGCAAACCTAGTTAAAACTTTTGTCCAGAAACAGACATATAATCCTTCGCTGGGGCCATACACAAAGTCTTTCCAGTTTGGTAGGATTTCTCAGAGTTTATATCTTGGCAAAGCTTTTGAGAAAGGAGGGTCATTTCCACAATACTATGAAGCTTCAGAAGAGAACTTTATTAAAGGTATATTAACTAATAAAGAAAAAATATTAAAAGAACATTTTGTGTATACATGCCTATATCTATATAAATATGTATGTGTTTTTGTATGCCTTCCACAGTGCCTCACCTATACTAACTGTTTAATAAATGATTATTGATTTCAATTCATTTCTAAATCAGTTAGTTGTTTAAAAAGTGTTGGAAAACTTGATGAACATCAGATTTGATATAGAAGGTAAAATGGAAAGAATACAATTGTAACTACAGTTTTTTTCACTTCTCTTTCCATTTTCCAATATTTATTAGTATTCATAATCATGATTCAACTAGATTGGAAGTGGCAGAAATAATAATTGGAAGATAGCTAGGTGGCACATTGCATAGAGTGCTAGATTAGGAGTCACACAAAACTGAACTCAAATTATGCCTCACACACTTACTAGCTGGGTAAGTTATTTAACCTATCTTTGGGTAAGTTTCCTCATCTCTAAAATGGGGATAAAAATAGCACCACCTACCACGCAGAGTTGTTGTGAGAATGAAATGAGATCACATATGTAAATCACTGTGCAAACCTTAATGTGACATATATGTGTTAGTTATGTTATTTACACAGGATTTCTGTTCTCATTCTCCCTCTTTTCTGATAATTTGGAACAACAGTCCAAATTGATCCTCTTGACACCCCTCCCCCACCTTTTGATGTCACCTGCATTATCTTACATGTATACAAAAATCGATCAAACTAGTAACAGAGACTTGCAAACTGATGACACTCTGCAAAGATGCTTGTGCAATTCTGGCCTACTTTTTAAAAATCATTTTCAATTTATTCAAAGCATTTTGATTTCACATGCTTACTGTGAACTCAAAATTATTAATGTCCATATGCTTGCTAGTACTCATTCACAACTTCCCTTGGAATATCATTTTAGTTTTATGGAATGGGTTTCAAAATATGCTACACTCTATTGTTCAGTACTCAAGATCCTGTGAATCCCTTGCTGGAAAACAAACAAACAAACAAACAAACAAATTGTGACATTAACATGTAATAGAGTAGACTCATGCATTGAGTGGAGGACAGGACAAGGTAGCCCCTTTGGTGACTTATAACTATAATATTCCATGAAAGAGAGCTGGTTTCAGGGCAAGGATGACCTGTGTGCAGATCCTGTCTCTGACACATCCTGGCTGTGTGACCCCAGGCCTCTCAGTATTCTAGGGAATTATTGAAGACTATAACTTACAGAGAAGGACATTATCTGCACTGGTAGAGATCTACACAAAGAAAGCACACAGTGAAATTGCTAATCCTATCTAAATTTATAAATATTACAGATTAAATTGTTCTTATGACATTTAAAAACCATGGTGCAGTGGAAAGAGTTTTGAATTTGTAGTACGGGATTTCATATTTTTACTTAGAGTCTGTCACTCTATTAACTGTGTGACTTTGAGAAATTACTTCATTTCTTTAGGATTGCTTCTTCTGTAAAATGTAGTTGTGCTGTTAGGTATTAAATATTTATTAAATATCACTATATGCCATGCAGTATGCCAAGAGTTCAGGATACAAAGAAAGGTAAAACAAGCAAACAAAAAAAAAAACACCAAAATTCCCTGTTTTCAAGGAGCTCACAGTCTAATGGGAGGAAGGAAATAGGTAGGAAAGAAGGAAGGAAGGAAGGAAGGAGGCAGGAAAGAAGAAAGGAAGCAAAGAAAAAAGAATGAAACAGGAAGGAAAGAAGGGAGGAAAAAACACTTATTAAGTGCCTACTATGTGGAAGGCACTGTTTTTAGTACTTTACAAATTTCATTTTATTTGATCCTCACAACTACCCCATGAGACTGGTGCTATTATCATTGCTATTTTACATTTGGGAAAACTGAGGCAGATAGAGGTTAAGTGTCTTGCCCAGGTCACAGAGCTAGAGAGTTTCTGAGTCTGGAGTTCTTTCCTTACATTCTTAGGCCAGTGCTAGATGTAGTGAGCCACTTAGTCATCTCTAATGGGTAAGAGTACATGCAAATATCTCTGTACAAATAACATATATGGGTAATATAAATTACAAATAGTATCAGAGAAAAGGAACTAAGATTAAGGCAGACTAGAAAAAGGCTTCTTGATGGGACTTCAGCTAAGACTTAGAGGAAGCCAGGAAAGTCAGGTGCCAAAGATGAGGAGAGAGAGAATTTTAGGCATGGAGGTACAGCAAAGTTGAGGGATGGAATGTCCTGTACAGGGAAGCTAGTGTCACCAGATTGCTGAGTATTTGGAAGGGATTAAGGTATGAGAAAACTAGAGGGCTAGGAAGGGGGTAAATTACACAGACTTTAAATGAAGAGATCACTTTTACATTTGATCCTGGGGGTTATAGGGTGCCACCAGAGATCACTGAATAGGAGGATGAGATGATCAGACCTCACCTTTAGAAATATCAATTTGGTAGGTGAGAGGAGTTTAATTGGATCTCCTGCCTCCCTTGGGAAGAGGAGAAATGCTATTCCATTATGCACCAGTCTCCTACTTTGAAGTGAAGGGAGAAAATACCATTCTATCACATCAGATCTCTTTCCTGGTCTCTTGCCTCCCTTAGCCTGAGGAGAACCATCATTCCAACAAGGACCAGTCTCCTCCATTCCAGGGAAGAAGAGAAACACCATCCCATCAGCCTTGTCTCTTACCTTGGGGGAGGGGGAGTGACACAATTCCTTCAGCTCCTAAAACTTGTCCCATAGCCTGAACTACAATAACTGAGTCCAAACCCCTATAGACAATGAAAACCAAACTAAACTCATTCATCAATGATTAACAAACTCTACCCCCACCCCCTTCCCATTCTGGTCTTATATTTTTCAGCCCAGTGATTCTGAATGCCTGGACTTCATCATTTAAATCTGGTTCTCAATCTCCCACTGCCTGATCTCTTATTCTCATTCCCCTCAATGCAATCCCCCCACCTCTGTAGGATGTCCACTTCTAAAGCTACATGCTCTTTCCACTGTGCTCTCTGGAATGCCTGATCCATAGATAGCAAAGTTGGCTTTCACATTAAATCTTTTCCTTTATCACTCATTCCATTTTCTGGCTCTCAGGAGACATGGCTCCCTCCTAAACAACACAGCCTCCTTGACCTACCTTTCCTGCACTGGTTGCACTTTCATTTATCCTCCTTATTCATTGGTCAAGGTGAGGGAGTTGGAATACTCCTTGGTACCCATTACCACATCCAGGTTCTCTTTTTACCATCTGAGGATCACTACATCCATATCTACCACTCAATTAAAGTTCTCATAGCTGTTGTAATGAACTCCAGGGCACTATTCTTTCCTTAATGAGTTTTGAACCTTTCTCACAGTCCTCTCCTCTTCAACTTCTGCCCTCATGTTTTGCCCACAGGATACTTCAATATATTCACTGATACTCTTTGAAATGCCCTAACCTCAAAAAAAAAATAAATGCCTTAACTTCCCAGTTCTTCAATCT